TCTACTAAACTCTCGAATGAGCCATAGTACATTTTATCACAATTTCTCTACAATTATTTAACACAGAGCACCCTGTATTCAGTGCACTGAAAGAGTACTTCACAATTCAAGAAGCTTTTCGAGTATTCCCTTATGGAACACCCTGTCGTTGGCATAGGCGAATGCCCATCAATTGCTTGAGCTGTTACCCATTTTTCATTTCACTTTCGCGCTGCTCTTGGCAACGGTCACCAACAACAACAACAACAACAAGAATAACCGAAAAAAAATTGTAAAGATCCTGACAGCCGCGTCAAATGCCGTTTGCCAGTTTGTAGCATTGGCCCAGTGCCAAAAGTTTAATTGTGTGTGTGTGTGTGCGTATATGTTTGCTCTTGTGTGACAATTTTTTGACATGAATATTTTACACGTTTATTGCACAATGGCATTCCGTTGATATTTTTAGGGGCTCGTGCTTGGCATTGAATTGCAATCGAGTCCTTTGAGAGCTGAACTGAATCAATTTATGAGAAGACAGGAGAGGACACACAATTGTGCTGTTGGTGTCGTCGTCATGTTGACCATGCCCCTCCCCCGTCGCCTGTGCTTGTTATTTACAGTTGGCTGACGCTGTTTCATGTGTGGCAGAGGGCTGAACAGGGCCGGTCAGGACAATGGCCCAGCATTCGATCAGGATCGACCGCAAGTCGCCGCGAGCGAGCCGAAATGTTGCTGTCGATGGCGCAAAAACGTGAACGTGCCCAGTCAGCGGAAACAATCGAAGCGACCAGAGAGAGAGAGAGAGAGTTGGGGAAAATGTGCTGCGGGGGGGACGACGACCAAACAACCTCGTTATGTGTCGAAAAAAGTTTCCGTTTTTCTATTATATTATATGTGACAAGGCACGGTGCATGTCCTCTGACATGAGCTCTGACAGCGACGAGTTGCCAGAGCGAACAAACTTTCGCATCACACTCATCAGCGCCCGCAATGTTTAATTGCATATCAGTTAACAAGAGAAAAGAGTGCAGAGCACTTCGTACTACATAAATTTGCAACGAGCTAACGTGGCGGCTGGGCGAGTCCTGCTGCTCGTCCTCCTCCTGCATATCCTTCGCCGCTTGACGATAATTTATGAACTTGTGCCCATTTGCTGTGCTTATGGCCGTAAATTATGGCCACTTTTACGTGTGTCCTTGTATCCTTTTTCGTGTCTCCCGCAAACGCACACACACACACACATGGGCATGAAAAGCTCTGTCGCTGACACATTGTTGTTATACCATATTTATGC